TTCACCCCGCCCCCCACAGTCCCCGCACTGCCCCGACCTGGGCCCGCCCCCAGCCCGGTGGCGGGCCCTCACGCACGCGCCGTCTGCACCGCGCGGCTTACCGAGGCGAGGCGGCGGCGCTCCTCAGCTGGCCTCCATGCGGCGCGGACCCTCAACGGACGGGGCGGGCCGGGGCCGCGGGGCGGGGCGGAGCAGACGGGCCGAGGGCGCCGACGGCCCCGCGGCATGCCGGGAAGGGTAGTCCCAGGCGCCTCCTACTCGGCCCCGGCCCGCGACTCCGAACTACACTTCCCAGGGAGCCGCGCGCGAGACCCTGCGCCGCCCCATCGCCCCCGGGTCCTAAGGATCATTGGCGCGCACTCGGGAAATGGGTTCGAGTCCCGCCGCTGCCACGGCCTTGCGAGGCGCGCCCACGTTCTCTGGCCGCAGCTCTCAAGCTGTGAAATGGGGACAATGCTCGCACGGCGTCCACAGGATGGTTTTGCGTTGAATTAGATATTGAAATGTAACTGTTCTGCGAGCCGTCAATCCCGCACGAAGGGGACAGCTGATAGTGGGCCACGAGGAGCTGAGTACAAGGGATCAGGGAACGCGCCGACGTGGCCTCCGCCCGGCCCCCTCCCCTCTGGGGATCGGCCTCTTCCGTCTTCCCGGGGTCGCCCGAGAACCCTCCCCCACCCGGGACTCCTGCCTCAGCGGGACCTTGGCGGACCGCAGGCTGGGGCACCCCGGGAGGTCGACGGCCAGCCCGGCGGAAAACCCGGACGCGGCGGGGGTCTCAGGGCTCACGGACTCGGGCGCGCCGCCACTTCCGATCGTCCCGAGGCCCTAGCGGGACCCGGCTAGCCGCAGCCACCCGGACGCCGGACCCTCCCCGCGCGCCTTCTGCCCCGAGGGCGTGAGAGGTGGCCCAGCGCCACCCGCCGCGCCCTCCTGCCCGGGCGCCCTCCTGCCCGGGCGCCCGGACCCCTTGCTGCGCCCACGGGAGCGGCCGGGGCCAGGCGGCCCAGGAGCTGCGCGCTGCGGGCCACGGCGCTGACGGGGATGCGGGGGTCGGCGGCCAACGGGCGGTGCGGGCGATTTGCCGCCCGTGCAGAGGACTCGCTGCCCGACAGCGGCTGTGCCTCCTGCCTGCGCCGCGCGCCTGCTCTGGCCAGGGCCCACGGCTTCCTCCTCCACGACCCGGCTTCTTGGCTGCCCCGGCGCTGGCGCTGGGCTTAGTGCACGCGTGGACGTGGCGATGGCTCGCCTGTGGGCTG